AGGGAGGAGTGGATGAGGGAAGGGGTGGGGTGGGAGAACTGGGATTGGCATGGAAGATTAGATAGATAGATAGATAGATAGATAGATAGATAGATAGATAGATAGATAGATAGATAGATAGAATTTTTTTTTTTAAAAAAGAAAAGCTTCCTTTACATTTGGTCCAGTTTTTCTCCAAGGGTCTTGAGATCCTGTTATCAAAGAGGGGGTACACTGAGGCAACCCTTTTGGTTCCCACCTCCCTTCTCCCCGAGAGCCATCAAAACAAAGATTAAAGTCACAGAATTCAGCTGATGTCCTTAGTTCCAAAGTGACCTTACACGACTTGTTTGCAGCACTGTCCCTCTCTTCCTCCCTTGGAGCCTCCTAGTTACCCATCTGCCTTTTCTAGTCTGCATGAATCTCTTCCCTCTTCCTAAGTCTTGGCATTACCTCCTGGTTTCCAGCACCACCATGGATGGGCTGCCTGATGGAGTTTTCTTCAGATGGCTTTGAGACTGACTCAATTCAACTCAAATCTTGTTCAATGCAAGACTGCATTGTACAACCCCATGTATGTTTATAATGACAAGGCATTTGTAAATTTTAATCATTTCATCCAACACAGAAGACCAAAGTTTACAACAAAAGAAGGAAGGGAAGAAAACAGGAAGGAAGGAAGGAAGGAAGGAAGGAAGGAAGGAAGGAAGGAAGGAAGGAAGGAAGGAAGCAAGCAAGCAAGCAAGCAAGCAAGCAAACAGACCAATTGGGGGCTGGAGTTATAGGTCAGCTGGTAAAGTGTTCACCTTACAAGCATGAGACCCTGAGTTTGCTCTCCAGAACCCACATAAAAAGCTGGGTATGGTATCACAAGGCTTGTAAACCCAGTAATGGAGAGATAGAGACACTGGGGTTCAGTGACCAGTTAGCCTAGCCTAAGGCAAGCCCCAGGTCCCAGTGAGAGACTCAGTCTTACAAAGCAAATTTGATGTCTCCTGAGGAAGGACACCATGGTTAACCTCCAGCCTGGCCTTTACACATACATACACACACACACACACACACACACACAGAGAGAGAGAGAGAGAGAGAGAGAGAGAGACAGACAGACAGACAGACAGACAGACACAGAGAGAGAATTAGTGTAGAAAAGGGAACAGTGTTAGAAATCCAGGGAAACAGGGCTGCAACCAATTTCTGTCCGTAATGAATGAGTTCCATTAACTTGGACAGTCCATCCTAGTCATTCTACCCTCATTCATGAATGACATCAGACCCACCTTCCTCTGGAAGTCGGTATGGGATGAAAGAGGCCTGGTTAGCTCAGAGTCTGAATCATCATGTCATTATCCCGATTAAGAGCTTTAAGGTCCCACCTTCTCTCCAAGTGTTTCACCAACTTTGTTATCATGCGGCTGCTTGTCTTCCAACCCATCCTGACGTCTCCATCCCCGGAAGCCTGACTGTGTGAAGCAACAGTGTGGGCTCATTATCCCTAAATGCCCTACGGAAGACATACCTTTGCCCCGGACTCCGTGTGTAGTGAGGACTGTTTAACGAGGTGGCTGCTGGAGGAGACTGTGGGGGCTACACAAGGCAGGTTACATGTGCAGATGGAATACAGTCTTACAGCTTCGGTACAAGTCATTTTCTCCACAGATAGGAAAGGCAAAGGCAATGAGCCTCCTGCAAGGACACACTGTACATGGGGCTGTTCAGTGGCTTTGGCTCAGTGGGTCAATTTTTTTTTAAAGATTTATAGATTTATTATATATACAACATTCTGCCTCCATGTATGCCCACATGCCAGAGGAGGGTGCCAGATCTCAGTACAGATGGTTGTGAGCCACCATGTGGTTGCTGGGAATTGAACTCAGGACCGCTGGAAGAGCAGCCAGTGCTCTTAACCGCTGAGCCATCTCTCCAGCCCTCAGTGGGTCAAATTTAACCTGTTCATTTGGTAAACGAGGAAAGATTCAGAGACATGGAATAAGACACCCAGGACCACAGATTCTCTTGTTAGGAAGCCATACAGTTATCCTTGCCCCACAGTTAACAGTTAATGTGTATGTGACATGCTGAGGGTAGGGATTTAAAAATGTGTGTTATGATGATCAAATATATCCACAGGTTCTTTAACATTTCTATCCCTGTGATGGCTAAGCTTGCCTGTCAACCTGATTGGCTCTATATTCAACTAAGGGACCCACACAGGTGGGTCTGTTTCCAGGAAGGATGAACTGAGCAGGGAGATCTTCTAACAGAGTGGGCAGTTCATTGCAGTGACCACGAAGGTAGACAAGTAGTCCAGGAAGAATATATATTCATCCTATTGGTTCTATTCCTCCAGTGAACCCTAAGACAACCCCCAAACAAGTGGAGCGGAGCCAAGCATGGCAGTACATATCTATGCTGTCTTTGGGGGAAGCTGAGGCAGGAGACTCTTGAGTTTGAGACTAGCCTGAGCTACATAGTGAGCCCCCTTATCCCAACTAATAAATAACAAAGCCCAAAGAGCAAAAGGTAATTCCCCTTTCCTTCGATGTGATCGTTCTTTAGATACCTGCTTCAAGTAAAAGGCATGTGAGGAAATGGTCCTGAAACTCCTGAATGGGGATCATAAAAAGATTCCCTTAGTCCCTCTTTTGGTCTAGCTGCTATATATATATATACACACACAGATGAAGAATGGTCAAGGTTCCTTGGTGGATAGCTGTCTGCAGAGGAATGGCGGTTGCTTGTGATCCATCAGGACTAACTTGTCAAACGCAGCTCTAGTCTGATTCTCAGCCCCCATCATGGCTTCAGAGAACACTGGTCCCAGGCACACCTGACTCACACGAGAGCACGTGGGCCAGAGCTGTCTGCTCAGCTACTGACAGTTTACTGACTCACACACATTGTGGGGGGGTGGCAGGCATTCATTGTCTGAAGCACCTAAGGTTTGGGAATGATTGTTATAGACATACACACACACACACACACACACCACACCACACCACACACACACACCAAGTTAATATCTGATTGAATCAGACTTTGTGAAAGTAATAAAATTTTTATTCAGCCAAGTATAGTGGCCCAAACCTGGCTGAACCAGGAGGGTTGCCATGAGTTCAAGGCCAGCTTAGACTACCTAGTGAATTCTAGACTCCTGGTCTACCATGTGATTCTCTCAAAACAACAAAATGTAGCCCCATAAAAACCAAGGTTGTCAAGATGGCTGGGCAGATAAAGATACTTGCTATCAAGCCTTAAGAACTGAGTTCCATCCCCAGGAATCCACACGGTAGAAGGAGAGAACTAATTCCCTCAAGGTGTTCTTTGACCTCCACTCACACATCGACGGTGGTCCATGTGCCTCCTTTAACCCCCCATTAATAATTTAAAGTATTGTAAGTAAATAAATGATTGTCTAGAATTGAATCTAGAACTACTCAACCCTTAGCCTAGTTTATTTTTTAAGATTTATTTTAATTTTAATGATGTGTATGTCTGTATGTGAGTATTTACTTGTGTTTGTCAGTTCCGTGGAGGTCCAAGGCATCAGAGCCCCCTGGACCTAGAGTTACAGGTTGTGAACTACCCAGTATGCATGCTGGAGACAGAACTCAGGTCCTCTGCTAGAGCCATATGTGCTCTTAATCATTGAGTCAGGCCAGCCTAGGCCTTAATGGCCCTGCAGTAGTGTGTCGCCTGGTGAAGTCTCTCAACCAATACTGGGCAATTTTATACAAGGAATAAAAGCCCTGGGCTCCTTAACCCAAGACACAAAAGCTCGAAGTCAGCTGGGGCCAGACAGATGACATGAGTGACGGAAGCTGAGCTGAGAAGTCTCCATTCTTGCTCCAAGTCCAAGAAGTGTGATGATAAATACGTGACCTTCACCTCAGGATCAAGGAGACAAAAGGACAGATGGAGACCCTGGGAACAGGGCACACCGGACCCATCTAAAGGGGCAGAGGCGCCCTCTTTGAGCTGGGATCTGAGGATGCATCCACTGCAGGGCTCGCGCCCGATATCTGTTCTGATGGGACTGCTCCAGGTCTCCCTGTGCTAAGGAATCTCAACCTTGTGCTGTCAAATCTAATTCTCCCAGGAGCTGGAGAGCTGAACTTTTTTATATGAAATCCTTGACATTAAGGCTTGAGCAACATATATCGATAGATAGATAGATAGATAGATAGATAGACAGACAGACAGACAGACAGACACAGTGTGTGGTAGGGTGAGTATAGGACCTTTCTGAGTAACCCTGTTGTCCTAGAATTCACTTTGTAGATCAGGCTGGCCTTGAATTCTTAAGACCTACCTGGTGGCACAAGCCTTTAATCCCAGCACTTGGGAGGCAGAGGCAGGAAGATCTCTGTGAGTTCGAGGCCAGCCTGGTCTACAAGAGATAGTTCCAGGACAGGCACCAAAAACTACAGAGAAACCCTGTTTCAAAAATCAAAAAAAAAAAAAAAAAAAAAAAGACCTACCTGAGATTAAAGGTGTGTGCTACTGTGCCTGGCTTTTCTTTGTTTGTTTGCTTTTTAAATAAGTATAGAGGCTAAACCTAAACTAGAGGTAGTAATTACAATCTCTGTTCTGAACTGGGGAAAGAGACCTTGGCTGCTCACTGTTAGTTTCACGCTTTTTGTTTGTTTGTTTTGCTCCGTTATCTAAACTAGGACAAAACAAATAGGAAAGGAAAAGAGAAAGGAAGGGAGAGGAGGAAAGGAAGGTGTCTTGACCACTGGAGTCTCCAACAGTCCCCAAGGTGGAAGACAGACAGATGGTTTTCAAGAGGAGGAGCAAATGGGGGGCCCTCAGCGACTAATTTTCCAAGGTTCAGAGCCACTAACTGGGAGCCCTTCGACCTGCCAATTCTGCCAGGGGGCACCCCTGCTAATCAACTTTTTATTTTATTTTTTCTAATCACCTTGGAGGCCCACTCCATCTTTGTTCGGCTGTAATCTTCCTTAATTAGATAATTGAAATAATCATCCAATTAAGTTGGTTCCCCTCACCCTCCTCACCAAGTTCTTGCTGGATCCAGCTGGCTCCCTCATTTCGGCTGACGCGTTCCTTGCCTCACGCCGGGCCCGAAACGGGTCTCAAGCTGTTCGTTTTCTTCCTTTGCAGTTTGCCGTTTCAGTTCAGAGGCGCGACAACTAAATTTCAGTTCTGGTCATGTCAAAACAGACTCCATGGGCGACTAAAAGCCGGAGCTGCAGCTGGCAGAGTCACAGCGCTGCTGGGCAGTTTCCAGTGGCAGGGATTCCGATCCCAGGCCTGGTATTTACTATTTACGAACTGGCTGATCCCGCTTGTGCCATTAGGTCTGTCAGCAAGCATCTGGACTTGGGGGCGTGGAGGGGGTGGGGCTACAGTTTCCTCATCTGTGAAATGGTGTTCCAACCAGGACCTGCCGCCTCCAGACTGCTGAGATCTGTAAGTAAGGCTGACTTCTGCTTGTGTGAGCTAACCTAGTACCAAAACAAGTTGGAAGGAGAACAAAAGGCAGGTGGAAAGGAAGAAAGAAAGGAAGGGAGAGAAGGAGCGAAGAAGGGAGGGAAGGAGGGAGGGAGTACCAACCTTGAACTTCTGATCTTCTAGCCTCCCCTTCTAAGTGCTGTGATTACAGGGGTGCAGCACCACACCCAGTTCAATCCAGTTCACACGGTGCCGTCTGTGCCGAGCAAGCGCTCAACAAACCGAGCGCTTCTACCCACTTCCCCATCCCCCTAGTCCCCCGTCCCGTCCCCAGCACTAGATTTTTCTCCCCCTGATACAGATTTGACTACATAGTCCAGGTTGGCTTGGTACCTGCAATCCTCCTACCTCGGTTTCCTGAACTTTGGGATCACAGATGTGTGCCACCATGCCTGGCTCAAGGTGACGTATTTATTTGTTGTGCTACTGCAGAAAAGGAAGAGAAATCGCAGAGATAGGCAAATTGAGAGTGGTTCTGGACATCCTTCGGAAGGTCAGAATGTGGTGGGGGCTCTACCTGCTTCTTTAGAGTCTGGATCCTGGTTTACTCTAAACCCATGTAAGACGAAACCCACACGAGAGACTTAAAGGTAACTAGCTTTCCTTCAGATAGATTCTTACAATGAAATTTTAAGTCAGTATTGATTTTAAGTTGGCCAGAATGCAAGATCCATGGGCTGAGGGCTGATAGGGCCACAGTGTCTGGGGACTCGCTGAGAAATACGAGGTAGCAGGCGCGGAGCTGTTTCTGAAGGCAACTCCGAGCCAATTTCAAGTGATGCACTGAAACATTTGAGTCAATCATGGCGGTGTAAACCCGTAATCCCGGCGTCCGCCCGAGAGCTGGAAGCCAGGGGATCAAGAATTCAAAGTCACCCTTGGCTACACAGCCAGGTGGAGGCCAGTCTGGACTGTAAGAGACACTGTTTCAGATAAACAAACCATTGTAAATGAGGGTGTAAGTAAGGTACAATACACATGTCACCTATGGAGAGACATTAGCAAAGGCTGCATCCCCAGGACTGTGGAGTAAAATGACAAGCTGTTGTGTCTCAGAAACTCGGACCCCCATGAGTACAGTCTAACTGTTGGAAGGCTGAAGTTGGCCTTTCACCTGGCCCAGCCTCGGCTGTCCTTCATTCTCTGTCAGTGACCCAGCTCCCAGCAGCTCAGCTCCGCTCTCCTTCAGTCCTTTGGAGGTGGGTGTCAGACTACGGGAGCGAGCAACTCGGGGAGAAGTCTGGTGTTTCTGATGGTTAGAAACTATACCAGCTGTGAATCACTTTTAAAAATGAAAGGAAAATAAATAAATAAAGCAACCATGAAAGAAAAAAAAAAGGAAGAGAAGAAGGAAGGAAAGAAGGAAGGTAGGAAAAGAAAATGAATTTTCTAAGTTTTTTAATGGTGGCTTTCTTTTCTGGTACGTGCTTTTAAATGTAATCTTACAGTCCTATGTAAAATGGGGCTAGTGACATGGCTCAGTGGTAAAAAGCATTTGTCGGTTTTAGGGAAGACTAGGGTTTGGTTCCCAACACCCACGCGCTGGCTCACAACCATCTGTAACTCCACTTCAAGGGGATCAGACACTGTCTTCTGGCCTTCTTGGGCATCTGGCATACATGGGGTACACACACGTGCATGCACACAAGCAAAACACTCATACTGGTTAAATAAAATAAATATGTCTTTAAAAGGAGAGGCGAGGAGAAGGCTCAGTGGGTAAAGGGTTTGCTGTGCCGTCACGAAGGTCTAAGTTCAGAATCTAAGCACGCACGTAAAGCCTGTGACCCTGGTGACAGAGAGGCAGAGACCAGTGGATCCTGAAGCTTGTTAACCAGCCTGCCTAACCAAAATAGGAAGCTCCAGGTTCGGTGAGAGACCCTGCCTCAAAATAAAAACAAACAAATGAAAACCCCACCAAGGTGGAGAAGCTGAAGAGAGGGCTACTCGGTCAAGGGACCCTTAATGGAGGGCTTCTTAATGAAGATACCTGGGCTCAGTCAGGAGGCTCCCAACTGCCTACAACTTCAGTTTCAGAGGATCAGGCTTGGGCACTTGCACACACATGGGACATATAAATTAATGCAGGCACACACAAATACACATTAATCTAAAAGTTAACAAATCTAGCCAAGTGGTGGTGTCACACACCTTATATCCCAGCACTCAGGAGGCAGAGGCGGGTGGATCTCTGTGAGTTTGAAGCCTGCCTGGTCTACAGAGCAAGTTTCAGGATAGCTAAAGTTACACAGAGAAACCCTGTCTTGAAAACAAAAACAAACTTAACAAATCTATTTTTAAAAATAAGATCAAGAGCCGGGCGGTGGTGGCGCACGCCTTTAATCCGGGCACTCTGGAGGCAGAGGCAGAGGCAGGCGGATCTCTGTGAGTTCGAGACCAACCTGGTCTACAAGAGCTAGTTCCAGGACAGGCTCCAAAACCACAGAGAAACCCTGTCTCGAAAAACCAAAAAAAAAAAAAAAAAAAAAAAAAAAAAAAAAAAAAAAAAGATCAAGAGTAATAATAGAGGATTTCCTGACGTCAGTCTCTAGTCTCTGAAAGTGCATTCATGAAAGTGCTTCCCTGGGTGAGCATACTCACCACCACACAAACACACACATACACACATAGACATCTACAGAAAAACATATATATATATATAAAACACATACACACACATGCACGCATATGTGCAAATGATCATAGTCATGCATGTATGAGGAAACAGTTTCTTGATACTCATGCTGAGATTCAGCCCACACACTTCTTCAGAAATATACCATGGTTTGATACTCTCCCTATCAGAGCGGTTGAACTTTAGCTGGAGTCTAGAGAGAACACAGAGAACATTCCAGACAAACTGGTTTCCTGCATATGACATAATCTCTAGTTTTGCCTCTGGGCCTAGGATACTCAAGTGAGGAGCCAGCAGCCACTGTGCTTCCTAGGGATCCCCGCCTCTTGGAGTCCATGTGTGTACATGTGCGTCTGATTATTGAAATCAGTAGGGGACTACAGGATGGTGGAGTGTGACCCCAAACTTAGGTCATCAACGTTACCTTTAGCTTCATGCTACATTCTCTTGAATCACTCATCTACCACGCAACAGCAAGCTTAGCTATAGCAGAAACAGCCCCCCACTCTGGCCTTCAGACCAGCACAACCCACGACCTGAGCACAAACTCCCGAGGTGCCCAGAGCCACAACCTAACCGCCAATCACAGGTTCCTGACCTCACACAAACAGAGACAGGTTATGGTTTTGTTTGAAATGGCTGCGTATTGAAGCGGTTTGTTGGACTGCAATAGGTAATTAATACACAGGCCCTCCGTCTGCAAGGCTGACTCTAACTCTGGAATTCACGAGCCCTCCAGGCTCAAAGCAGTTCCACCTTCTCCGGTACTCCCCAGCCCACGGGGATCGCTTTTCCCTCAGGGGCATTCCTCTGTGTCCCCGTCATTGCTGTGGACCAGAGGTAGGACACACAGCTCAGCAAGGACCGGATATCTCTGTGTGTGCTCTGGATAACCAGGTTGAGAATTAGACAAGTCCAGGACAGTTCTAGAGCAAATGACAGTGGTACCAGAACTGCTGGGGTCTGAGCCTGGGCTCTGGCAGCTCTAGTAAGCTAGGCTAGGCCACCCAGTCTCAATTAAATAAAGTTATAATGAAAAGCAGTTATGCCACTGTTGGGAAGAAAGACAAATGGAGCAGTGTGATGAGAGACGTACCTGCCCCCACCATTAGGGTCTTCACAGAACACAGCCTAACTAGAAGGCAGGAGTTATGTATAGCTAAACCGTCTTGATCGGGGTGTGGTCCTGCCCATCAGTCATTCCTCCTTGTCACCATTCGAAGCCCGTGCTTCACAGAAGGTAGTCTGAGAAGTTGTCGGAACTGTAGGAAATCTCTTTCCAGAGATCGGCACCGGTGTTTCCATTTTTTCAGCACGATTTTCCCAAGGAAATGCCAGTATGCTGAGGTGCATTGCTTCAGGAAGCTGAAAGCCAATGGGAAGGGGACTCCCTGGGAGTGTTTTCCTTCCTGCCAGGAAGGTTATAGTAATACACAGTTACCTGCCTCCAAGGGGTGCTGCTACCTCCCCAGGGAGGCCGCAAGAGGGAAGAGACGCAAGCATTATTTACCTGATGCTGGGATGTACTAAGAAATAAAACTTTCCTTTTCTCATCCTGGATCTTGCTCCAAGCATGTCTCTGCCTAGCTGGAGAGTAGAGAGAGGAATATATTTCCCTACTAGCCAAATCTCGGACATCCCCAATGTGGCTCTGCCACTGTGCAACAGAAGAGAAAAACACAGAGTTCTGGGCCACACATCCCTGTCCTAGCTCCCCCACCCTATACACACACACCTCTCCACCCCCCCATAGGACTTATGGGGATGATGCTCATATGGGGGGGGACTAGGAAGAAGAAGAATCAAGACCCTTCAAGTGCCCTCTAACAATGCTGTGTGAGTGTCTTCCTACACTGTGGACCCCTCAGGGACACTTGGCTAGCATTACTTTATGCAGTTATGTTGGGGGATGGGCACCATTCTCTAGCCAATCCTTTGCCAGCCAAGCCGTGAGCCCCTGGGACTGAGTGCATGAGTCAGAGGAGCGAACCTTCTAAGTTGCCTCTGTGGGGCTGGTGCAAGCCCTGGCCAGCACCCAGATCCCACCTTCTTTGCCCCTAGCCTTACATTCCTTGCCTGTGGCAGCCTGCTGGTTCTCATCACAGGCCAGAGCTCTTTGGCACCTGCCTGGCCCCACCTCCCAGGCCCAGAAATTCTGGATACCTTATGTGTCTGTCACATGAGGCCAGGTAG